CTTTTTTTTTTAAGAATTTTAATTGACCATAATTCATAAAATTGACATACATATCCATATTAGCACATATAAAGAGAGAGATATATATATCAGTTACATATTCACGAGTAATTCAATGAAACCATTAATAAATTATGGTTAAATGAACTATTTGTAACATTTTATGAGAACCTATATACACATATATATAGATGGTTGAAAGTTACAAGTTATTGGCATTCACTTTATAACATAATATAGAACTATTGTTTTTATTATGTTAAAATTATTAAGAAATTAATTCATTGTTAAAATGTATATTGTGTAAAATCATCTTTACAAATTTGTCAAATGAACAATAGTGATGAGTTTTATGCTAGAATGAAATAATCATCTATTGTGTGATAGACTTTTGATATCACTTTATTGTTTGAATACTACTTGTTATATTGGATCATTGCTGATTGTTATGTAAGAATCGTTAATTATCACTTATACTTGTAAAATGAGGTTGATTATGAATACAACGATTTTGAGTGATGTTAGAGGTATGAGGGCGGTTATCACTTCCCGGTTGTCCACACCGTGAAAGGGTCCTTCTGGAGGTATCTGAAAAGGAAATTGGATTAGAGGTGGTCTTAGTGACCTGAGAGCGTGACCACAGTGCCCAAGGGATAACTGCTTGAGGTCGTTCACACGCGGCCTATTTGTGAGTAATTTTCGTGTTAGCTCCGTACTTGTTGAGACGTTAACGCCGGAGACGGAAGTCGGTGGGATAAGGCAAGGTGTTCATTTTTAGGGTCGACCTCTCCTAACCTCATCTCTCCTTATGGGAAGACAGCATCGCTGTTATGCTAGTTGTCTGAAGGAAACATCTTACTGCCGTCACATCTCTGTACAGTCAGCAGAACGACTTCGCCTTCAGACCTCGGATTAGCTTCCTTTGGTTTTACCGCTCTTTAAATAACCTATCTGACATGGATAGATCTTGAGGAACGACTGTTCCAGCCAGTATAACTTGGATGCTTCATCACGATAGACAAGCTGACCACCACGTCAAGGTAGCGACAACGGTCGGGAACCACTGCAATAACCTCAACTTGAAAGTAAGAACATAATACTGGTATAAGTGGGAGATTTACTAACCCCTAAAACACGATAACGATGATGACGATGCCCCTAGTCGAAAATACTTTCATTTCTATATGATTACGTACATCCATATGAGAAATACTTACAGTTATAACAAACCAAATGTAGAGTATAGTTCATATTTATACAGAATAAAATATTATCTCTGGGAAACAGAAAGAAATACTACATTGAATTAAAAACGGAAATAATATTGAACAAAACTGATAATAAGTGAATTAATCGAATTTCAACTTTTCTTCTGATCATATCAGCTTTTAATGGTTGTCTAACATTGATCAACTCATAATTTCAATAAAGTAAAACTTATTGAGTTTTTCAGAAAAGTATCGCTTTATTGATGATTCATGATGTTTCATTATAAGTAATTGTTTGCTTACGACAATATCATTTACCAAAACTGTAAATCTTCAGAGAATACTAGAAATTGATAAAGTGAAAATAGTTTACAGATGAATTTTAATGAAAATGAATTAAATAAACACATTGGCTGATAATTTTTTTTTCACGACAAACGGTCGTCATGAGACTAATAAGATAAATGACGATGTTGTCTTCAAAAACAAAATTCAAATCATAATTGACTGATTTATTGATTAGGGTACGACAGAAAATTAAACAGCGCTAGACAACCATTCCGTCCTATTATGAGACTGCTTGTCTAGGTGGACCACTTCACTCCACAAATGATAATATCCAGAACGTTTAAGTCTCATGACGAACCATTGGATTAATGTTGAATGATACACATTCTTAAATCAGAAATGAATCTTAGTATATTTTTATTTTTATTCACTTAAGCAAATTTTAAAGCATTGGAAGATAAAATAGACTCTTAGTTCATTGATTATATATTCATTATTCACCTTGTTTGTTCCGTTTCATTCCTCTTTCTCATTCTTTGTTATACACCAATACATACCCATATATATACATATAGATATACTCATTTACTAGGGGGAATAATTTCCTACTCTTTTTATGATCTCCTCCTGTGTCATTAAGTATCGTGTCTTATTGATAAAAATATTAATGATGATGACGTTAATCATACTAAAAACATTTTGTTTCTCTCAAATTTCTATTATTCACAAAACTAATGTTTATATATATATGGTGAGTTTTTTATGTATAAATGAGGGTTTGTAATTTCAGTAGTTAAGTGAGTCCGCATATAGTCCTTCTACAATTACTGCCGGTCACAAGTTCGGATAGAAAGAGAGGGTTGGGCATGGAGTTAGCAATACCATCCCATAGAAAACAACCTAACTTAGAAACGCTAACCAGAAAAAGTAATTTAAACCATTTAAAAATCTGCTCTGAGTTGAAGAGTCTTCATTTAGGAGAATTACGATGCTGAGATTCATGGGAATTGACGAGACCGAGGGGACTACTGCCGGTCCCAAGCCCGGATAAAGGAGGAGGGTTGGGTATGGGGTTAGCGACCCCATCCCGTAGAAAACTAAGTCGCTAAAAAAATGCTATTGGTTGAAGGCGTCCAGTAACTTGGTTCATAACCGGTCACAATGAAGCAGACACATTCTCCTTCTGTTTTCTCTTAGATCATGAATACTATAACTATCTTATACATTTTATTCTGTTGGTTCATTCTTTCTATTCGAACTGTAATGTCTATCTTTAATGTTTTTTTTAATACCACTAATAATACTACAACTCTTATTACTCTGGAATTTAATTTTTAATGCTTTCATCTAACTAACTAACCTGGGAATAGTGTGTGTTCTCTAGTAGTAGTAACTAATTTTAACTTGGATTTCTACTATTCGAAAAAGTGGTCTAAACTATTGGTTATTTCAGTGATTGCTGTCTCAAATATATTGACTAGTATCATTGAATTTCGTCTGATCATTAGTACAGCGGTACTTAGCTCACACTGGCATTCATTTATCTCAAGTTCTTTCCTATAATAATAGAGTATTCAGTATTCCCTGCTGGAGAATTTCATATGAAGTAAATTTGACTGTTCAGTGCCGTATATCTGTCAGTCTTTGAAAGAATTTATCTTCATATCATACAAATTATGCAGAAAATTAACTGTATAAACCTGTTATGATCAATACCTCAAATTGGAACAGTCTATGGTAAATTAACAAATTGAGAAGTAAAGGATGACAAAAGACATTGAAAACGATGTAAATTTTAACACAAAGAATGCAGTCCATTAACAAGAAGTCCTATGGAAATTAAAATTTGATGATGATACTTGATTTAAGAGTTAGGCGAATGTGAACAAAATAAAAATTAAGTATGAACTGTGCAACTTTGATTGGTATTATACCATGTTAACAACCAGCGTCTAGAACTATTGATTATGAGTATTGTGTACAGATCATAAGTAGCCCAGTAAAGAATTTCAACAAAATAAGTAACACGTTGACAATTCTTACGTTTACTCTTAATTAAATATTTCCAGGAAATAAAATTGATATGACTTTAATTCGTACAACATACAATTACAATGTGTTAAAAATGATACTAATCACTGAATAATAACTGAATTAGTATCAGAAGGGGTTTTGTAGAGATTGTAGTAATTTCAATAGTTAAGATCATGAGTCAATTGAAGCTAGACCACCATGGAAAATCTGGAAGCATTGGACAGCCGTTTCGTCATATTGTGGGACTCCTCAGCAGTGCACATACAGGATCCCGCCCCGCGGGACTCGATTATTTAAAATACCATTTCAGTACTTCATAGCTCAAATCTTCTTGTAACGTTTAGTTTCTTCTTAAGTTCAAATAAAATTCCTGAAATCTACTTAATTCATTTATCAATAAAATATGGCTTCCTTAGATTGCCTATTTTTATTGTCATATTTTATATATTACTCATAAGTAGTGCCAGATGTGATTTGTAAATTATGATTTGATATGATACTAGCTCAGCTATCATTATCACAATACATTTTCTTCAATAAACCTTGATTATTCTACCTCAGTCAATTCATTCTTTTATGATTTATGAGTTATTCAAAGCATTCGTTTTAATTATATTTAATTTATAATTAATGAAATCACTTCAATGCTTTAAAATGCTTCATGGCGAATAGATAACAACTTCAGTGTAGTTATTCCTTCCGATTACTTAGAAGCACATAACATCAAATTTTCATTCTTATTTGTGACCTATTCTATTTGAATTCTAAATATAACTTATTATACCTTAAAATGAAAGTGACAAAATTTTGTCATAAAACAAGAATTACTATCTACATCAAATGTTTGCCAGGCGGAGTTTTAGTAATATCTATGCTAAAGTTATCATTCCAAATTCATTATTTAATGACTGCAATAGTAATAATGATGAAGGGTTGTGCAAATTCAAAATGTTTCATGTCAGATTTAAATATCCGCCCTTTTTTATGTTAGAATTTTAACTGTTTTGACAGTGTTTGTTATAATCATCGAATATTACATTATAATGTAAAATTCAGGAGTGTGTTCCAATGAATTATTTTTTTTATACCTAAATAACTAATTTCTATGCGAAATGATTAGTTGATCAACTTTTAGAGGAAATGTATGGACGGTTGCTCATTATCATCAATTGGTTGAAGTTATACATTAACACCGTTGAATATTAGTTCAGCGGTCTAAAGGTTAAGTATTCGCTCATGAGACCGGAATCCCTGGATTTGAGTCCCGTGTGGAGGAACGTGGATGCACACTGTTAAGGAGTCCCATACCACGACGAAACGTCTGTCTAGTACTTTCAAGTTCTTGATGGTGGTCTAACATTGATCTATTCATAACATCAATCTAAACTCAACAATCTCCGCAACCTTATACTGTTTATTCTCTGTGTGTACCGTTTTTTCATCACCAACTTTTTCATTGTTTCATTTTAGTTGTGCAAATGAATATGAAATGGAAACGCGTGTACAAGTGGAATTTTGTCCATGCACTCAAAGTGATTATGAGTGGTAAGTAATCAATGCTTATTCACCGTTAATACACTTTTCGTTTAAGAAAAAACTGATCCAAATCTTTTATAAAGTCATTTTTCCACTTACAGTAAGTAGCATGTAGTGTTGTCACTTTATTAGGATTAATTCACTGACAGTTTATTTCAAATGAGCTCACAAAACATTTACTTTAATTCAAGGAATTCAACGAATTATTTGAAGTGAATTCCCGTCATAGACAACTTACAACCTGATGAAACTTTTCAGCAATGTTTACTTACAACCCGCACACAAGATTAGCCTTGGTATCATCATCATTATTCGATCTCTCCACAACAACAATACTGCCTAGCCATCCAATAATTCACAATTTCTCATAACGACTTTGCTTTTATTCATTGTTTACATTTAGTACATCCTCAACTGATGAAAACTCCACAGAACTTAATCTTAAACTGTGTCATCATGATACTGAATACTAAAGAATAGATAACAAATTATAGATGAAATTGTTATGAAATGAAATGTTATTCAAAGCGATAATTATTAAATTACGGTATGAACACAGTAATACTAGGATGTCAGGATATTCAGCTGATCTAAGTTCTCGATTTACAAAAGATATACATATCCTATTTGATATAACGGATGTTTATAATAGTTTATCTTACTCTCTGACGTATTTTGCGATAACGCGTTAATACGATAATAAAACTAATCACATTATGTCAGATCCAGGATTCACGACCCAAAATAATGAACTGGAATATAGACTAGATAATAAATTACTCCACACAATTACAAACAGTCACACTCAGTGAGTTTGGATTAGAAATCAATGATGAGAAAGGGAATCACGAATTCAATAGTCTATAAGCTGTGATTGTTTGTCCACCCACAGTGTTCAATCATATTTCACTCTTACTATTACACATCACTATTGCTAGTCCCAATGCAAAAGGACTACTTACTTATTTACTTACGCCTGTTACTCCCATTGGAGCATAGGCCGCCGACCACCGTTCTACAACCCACTCTGTCCTGGATCTTCCTTTCCAGTTCTATCCAACTTTTGTTCATTTTTCTCATGTCTGTCTCCATTTCTCGATGGAATGTGTTCTTTGGTCTTCCTCTCCTCCTTTGGCCTTTAGAATTCTATGTGAGTGCTTGTTTTGTGTTGCAGTTGGGTGGTTTCCTCAATGTGTGTCCTATCCACTTTCAGTGCTTCTTTCTGATTTCTTCCTCCTCTGGAATCTGGTTTGTTCTCTCTCACAATAGGTTATTGTTGATAGTGTCTGGCGAACGGATCAGAAGTATTTTGCTTAAACAATTGTTAGTTAACACTTGTATCTAGGTAATCGAAACATTTGTTTTCTTTTTGTGACAATGCTTAAATGATCTACTTTAATCTTTACATATAAATAGTTCTAATCATACTTTGAGTCGTCTACACATTTTACTATTATTATTATTATTATTATTATCCCGTTAGTTACAAATACTGAATAAATTATACAATCGAATGGATCAACTTATTAAAAGCCCTCCTTATTGTACTCACTCAATTAGTGAATAAAAATGGTTATTTAATGTTGGAAACTAACTACTTAACTCATTTCTATCATCTTGATAAGAAGAGTTAAATGGATAAGTTAACTAAGTTGTTATTTTGTTTTCTTTAATAAAGAAAAACTTATACATCATTTTGTAAACTAGTTACTTAAGTTGAGAAAAAAGAATTAATGATAATATGATATTACAGTAAGTATACTTATTTGAGCTAGAAGAATGATTCTAGCATAATAGTACGTGACGGCATCATTAATGAATACGGTGGATCTGATGCAGATGTGAAGGCGCGGATCGACAAAGCAAGAGCAGCATATTTACTACTGAAGAACATCTGGAACTCAAAAACAACTGTCAATCAACACAAAGGTGAGAATTTTTAATTCAAATGTCAAGACAGTTCTACTGTATGGGGCGGAAACTTGAAGAATTACGAAAGTCATCATCCTGAAGATACAGGTGTCTATTAACAATTGTCTACACAAAATTCTTCTGATCCGTTGGCTAGATACTATCAGCAACAACCTACTATGGAAGAGAACAAACCAGATCCCAGAGGAGGAAGAAATCAGGAAGAAGCACTGGAAGTGGATAAGACACACATTGAGGAAAGCACCGAACTGTGTCACAAGGCAAGCCCTCACTTGGAATCTTCAAGATTGAAGGAGAAGAAGAAAACCAAAGAATGCATTACATCGAGAAACGGAGTCAGACATGAGAAGAATGAACAAGAATTGGATAGAACTAGAAAAGAAGGCCGAGGACAGAGTGTGTTGTAGAATGGTGGTCGTCGGCCTATGTCCCAACGGGTGTAACGGGCGTAGGTAAGTAAGAATAGTACGTAAGTCATTTGATTTGATTTGATTCCTGTCAACTGCTTACAACCTGTAATATTTAAAACTCGCAGTTATAGAATAGGTTTAAATTACTAACATTACTTACAATGAGAAATGGTCGCGCAATGTCATAGATTGGTTGAGGTTAGACATTAACCCTATTCGACGCCGACTCAGTGGTCCAGCAAGTTAGGCGTTTGTGCGCGAGACTGAAGGCTCTGGGTTCTGATCCCGCGAGGGAATAGGCATTAAGGAAAATATTCACACGCATTAAATTTAAAATAAAATTAGTCTGTCTTATTCAATAATGAAAATTTATTTACCTTATCGCCTTTGAACTCTCTACGCCTTCAATTATGACATTATATATAGTTTCAAATGCAAATGACTCAAAAGTACCAGACTCCAATATATTCTTAACAAGTACCTATATTATATAATTTCCTCCTTAAAACAGTTAATCAAATCACCTTAGTTGTATATGTTACTGAAAACTTGTAACTAACAATATGTCACTCAGTTTCAGTAATAATAAACTAATATAATTCATACTAATGAAAAAAATATTTGATGAAATGATTGACATATCAATTTTAAAAGCTTCTAAATATTAACTACATTATGTATTTATGCATAGTATACTTAACGTGTACTGTATATGTATATACTAATGTTGTTACTACCATCTTTATGATTATCGAATATATTACGGTCATTCTTGCTAATATATGTACATTTTAGTAGTCTATTTAGTAAGATGATAATGTGAACAAAATTAGTTCATCAACAACGGTTGCATTTGCACTGTCCACTCTCCTCCCCCCCCAGTACATTATATCTCACTATGATTTAATTGAAACTGATACTAATAACGATTAACTTCGATATCTAAATAACACTGTGGTGAACAGAACATCAGGGGGGGACAGTCGAATGTATTTAACACAAAATTACAGGACTCGTTAATATAATCTAACAATCAAATATTAAATACGTAATTTATAAAATGTCCATCAATTGTCTCATAATGACTCAGACTTCATTGTTCTTCCATTTTCGTACAAATTGCATCCCGTTTCCATTCTTTACTGTTCGATCCTCTTGTCTCTCCGCTGTCAGACCTTCTGTTTACGACTAACATCATATACTACTTACATCAATATAAGTAGAATATAACTCATCATAACTACTTTTTCTTTTCTTACCCTGGCTATTTTAAAATAGGACTAAGTGACAGAAATCAATGTTGATCGATCTAAACAAAAAACGCACACATAAAAGTGCTTTTTCAATGGTCTCAACTCCTTGAATAACATCTTCGAACCCTAATCTTTCCGATTACTGCATATACTTTTACTACCTCTACCACTGTGGGATTTGAATTGACAATTGTATCTCTGTATTAATGTGGTATGGCAGCTCGAACTGATTTACGTAAATACGAAGTTCTACATTGTTACTGACAGACTGACTTTAGCGTGAAAAAACACGCTTTTAACTAGCTTTAAATTACAATGCCATAGTGATTGGTCCAGTTGTTATGAGTCATCGAATTGTTTCTTTTTGGTCTGATACTCTTCAGTATTACATAGTGACCAAACCCCTTCCTTAGTACCTACTAGCTCACTGATATTGTGCTGAGTGTTTTTATGCATTCATCCAACACTTGTGAAATAAGAGATTCTGACAGATGTTATCTAAAGCAGTTAATAGAAACTCAACTTATAGAATACGAAACCGCAAAAAATGTATTTACCTAAGCTATGAATGTTCCATATGTTAGGTATGCAGAGGAATATGCCAATAATTATCGTGTCAAGTCGAATGGTGTCCTTGGACGTTAAATGTACATTTCCTATTGGTCGATATTTGCTTCAGTCGTTTAATATTATGTAAATGTTGTTTCTTATTTTTATGGTATGATGTGGTATGCTTGATTAGTATATAAACAGAGTGTGTTTGAAATATAATGATTCATATCTCAGAGGCTGTGACTTTCGTTCTGGACTCAACTGGCTGGGATAGACAGGGAAGCAGGGCCAATCAGGACACTAGGTCGTTCGTACGTATTTACGTGTCACTGTAAACGATCGATATAAACGCTGCGTATCAAAACCTGCAGTCACACACCCATTACAACACCATATTATTTTAGAAAATCTTTCAGTTCATTCTAATGGCCTTGTTTGTAATTTTTTGTTGTTTTTATTTCTTTTTTGAATTTTCGTTGACAGTCATCTTTGTAGGTTAATCTCTTCTCACAAGTTTAGAAGGTAATATATGGATTGATATAGTATGATTTACTTAAAATGTTGCATTCTATCACATTTCCTTCATTTATTCAGTGACTAGTCTACATAGGTTATTCTAGCTTCTGAACGGGGTAATTTATTTGTTCATCATGAGTCACATTTTAACCTTGTCAGTTATTCACTTCTAATCTTCATTGTTCTATTTGAGTGTATTTGTGTGTATTACTTTTCCTATTCATCATTTATCTTCATCTTGTTTTTGTCTGACTATAAATAATGAGTCACTCTCTATCACATAGAGTTGACTTGCTTGCCTTATTCATTCTGTTATATTTTGATTTCCTGTTTCTCATTCTTTTTTTTTATGTCTGTTTAGATAAACAAAAAACCTAACACAACTTGTGTTTAGCATCTTGTTACCACCGTTGTACAAATAGGATTAACTTAAATGTAGTATATCGAATTATGTCCATGGCATAAACCTTGTAAAGGCTCTTTACTCGAACACTACTAGTCGAGTGAGAGCTTATGGCGAACTGTCATCTAGTTTTGCAACCTCAAGTGGTGTCCGTCAAGGATGTCCACTTTCCCCATTTTTGTTTAACTTCATCATAGATCTACTGATGGAAATAACTTTCTCGTCGACTGAGTTCTCGGGTATTGATCTCCTTCCAGGAGGTTCACTTATCGATTTAGAATACGCAGATGACATAGTCCTGTTTGGTGAAGACGCTGACAAAATGCAGAGTCTTCTGGTAGCACTGAGCAACAATGCCAGGATGTTTGGAATGCGCTTCTCTCCCTCTAAATGCAAGTTGTTGCTTCAGCACTGGTCTGCGTTAACACCTGAACTAAGGATAGGGAGTGAAGTAGTCGAACGCGTTGACAACTTCACTTATCTTGGAAGTCTGATCAGCCCTAATGGGTTGGTATCAGACGAAATCTCAGCACGGATTCGAAAATCTCGTTCGGCTTTTGCCAACTTACGTCATCCGTCTGTCAATAAAAAGAACGAGTATACTGCGCGGCAGTCCGTTCTGTTTTAACTTACGGCAGCGAAACATGGCCTTTAAGAGTAGAAGACACCCGTAAGCTACTAGTATTTGACCACAGATGCCTTAGAAATATTGCTGGCGTCTGCTGGGATAACCGGGTAAGTAATAGTGAGGTTAGACGCAGGGTATTAGGAAATGATGGTAAATCAGTTGATGAGGTTATGAATCTTCATCGACTGAGTTGGTTGGGCCACGTGTTACGTATGCCTGAACACCGATTACCACGTCGTGCAATGCTATCCGGTATTTGAAATGGTTGGAAGAAAGTTAGGGGCGGCCAAACCAAAACGTGGCATCAGTGCTTGAAGTCACTAACTTCTAGTCTGAGCCATGTTGGTAGATGCAGACTACTTGGTTGGGGTCCGCGTGACTATCGTAACCGATGGTTGGAGACTCTTGGTGACATGGCTCAGAATCGATCACAATGGCGTCGGTGTATACACTCCCTGTCTTCCCTTAAACTAAGAGATTAAAATCGCTTCATATCTTTCTTTCTACGAACCAATTCTTTCTTCTTGTACTATATCTCTATATGCAATCTTTCTCTTATATATTACCACCTTTTACCTAACCACTGTTATGAATCTGGTGTTCATCTTGTTGTGTTGATGCGGTATGGCAACCTGGACCGATGCACATATGTGCCTGGTCCTACGTTGTAGCTGACTGACTGACTGATGTCCATGGCATATTTTTTTCATTCATTCAAACTGGAGTCAGATCTGTTATAACTTTTGCCCCCATCAATTATCACGTGACAAAATCGTCAACCAGAACACTGACTTCTATGATCTTGTTCTTATGCTAAACTAGTCCCACGTCAACCAGAACTAGCACCCTTGAGACAGCTCTGAATTTTCATCGGTAATTTCCCTCCAAACCTAGACTGTTCAATCTAGAACACAAATATCAGCTTCCACTATGTGAATCGTACATTTATATACAAACAGACCAGACCACATTACACCATAAAACGTAAAATAACAATTATACAAGATTAAGCCAAAATTCTTTGAGTATGGAAGACTGTTGCTAATAGATTGGGAATAAATCGATAATGGTAAATCGTATAACGGTATCCAATGTGTCAAATGAAAGGAACATGAATATATATAATCTAGTTACTTAATAATTATCTAATAAGGATATATATATAACGATAATCCATAAATAAACCGTAGCAGTCAACATTATTCTTCATTTGAATGTAACAATGATCAACGAGCCTCTAAAAATTCTATGCATAAAAATTAATGAATGATTTTAGTTTTCACAGGAAACATTCTACATATGTCATAACTTGTAGCCTATGTGCCCTGTTTATTGTATAACGTCAAGATACCGCCAATTAGAGAGTAGTGAATTCTCGATCGGACCAATGACGCATAAACCCGTGCGAGCAATCTGGAGTTCTGATTGGTCCCACTTTCCGCCTAGACTAGCCAGTTGAGTCCAGAACACCAATCTCAGCCCCTGCAATATGAATCATTTATTTCAAACATACTGGGCTTATATACCAACCAGACAGATCACATCGTAACATAAAATGGAAAATAAAATTTATACAAGATATAGCCAAATGTGGCTGTGAATGAGGGAGATAGTAATTAATAGACAGGGCATAACTCAAGAATGATAAATCGTATAATAATAGTTCATAGGTCAAAATAACGCTCATAATAAGAGGGGCATGAATATGAACAGTTTAGTTATTTAACAATTATGCTATAAAAATATACGTATAGTATTGGTCCATAAATGAATCACAAGGTTACCATTCATTATGCTTATCGGGGCATAACAATTATAATCAGATTAATTATTAACGATTGAAATTTATCAATCTCTCCAGTTGACTAACTTTAATTAGGACAAAATACAAATTCTGAATTATAGCACTAGCTACAATCCAAATATTAAAAGGGGTTTTTGTGGAGATTGTAGTAATTTTAGTAGTTAAGATCATGAGTCAATTGAAGTTAGACCATCATAGAAAACCTGGAAGCACTGAACGGACGTTTCGTCCTACCGTGGGACTCTTCGACAGTGCGCAACCACGATCCTGACTCTCGGGATTCGAGCCCAGGACCTACCAGTCTCACGCACAAGCGCTTAATACTAGACCAAAATCCAAATATATTAAATTGCTAATTGCTACTGAGATGTAGATATCGTTTAGTCTAAAGTTTATATTCTTATTACAACAGAGAATATTATTACTAGATGATTTTTTCTTTAAACTAGGATGAAACAACTATTCAGCGTTCCCATGTTTTCAGTGTCGCTTTGAGCTATGACCCTTAATCGAAAAAGAAACTTTAAAAGTTCGGTTTTATTTTTCTGACATATATATATCTTTTGTTTTGCCTAGTGAATACGGATTTTATCGTCAACCGGGATCATTAAATTGTATTCGAAATCCATATATTCCACCATTAGATCCTTGTACATTACCAAGAAAACAACGTCAGACTATTCATCAGTTAGGTTATCGTTTAATACCAGGTGATCGCTGTATTGGTGGTTGGCAGCCTCCAGTATGGAATCAAACTATTTTAGATTTAATCAAATCATGTCCATACGATAATGCTGATGATGACGATGATGATAATTCTGTAAGTCTTGTTTATCAGTTTCTAATTGATTATTTTTAAGAAAATTTTGTTTTCCATTATCAAAGCTTAGTTAGTAGTACTTACTTACTTAAGCTTGTTACTCTCAATGGAGCATAGGCCACCGAAGTAGTAAAGTGAGTTAATTTATATTCAGGAAATACTCATTCATTGGTATCGAACGTATGTTTAACAATTGAATTTTCATTCACTCAAGTTACTTATTTTAATAATAATTATTATGCGAGGAAAGCTGCAAATGATTTAACCCTTTTCCTATTGTTACACTTCTAACGAATAAACAATGTTTCAGTCAAATTGGCTATTGTTTAATTGGTTTCTTTCTCCTCTAGCTATTTATACATCTTAAGATTATAGCTGTTTTTACGTAAGTAAAGTTGTTCTACTGAAATTCGGGCTTCTTGGAATACAAAGTTTTTTTTTCTTTTGTCTCATTTCTAACAATTCTATGAGGGTTTATTATTACTAATATTATTGTTATATTGTTATATATTATTGTTGTATATATATTATTGTTATCGTGGAGATTGTAATATTTTCAAAGTTGAATTCATGAGTCAATCTAACCTAGACCACCATTAAAAACAGATACCTTAGAAATATTGCTGACAGCTGCTGGGATCACCGGATAAGTAAAAGTGAGTTTAGACTCAGGCTATTGGAGAACTATGGTCAATCAGTTGATGAGGTTGTGAATCTTCATCGACTGAGATGATTCGGCCACGTGTTGCGTATGCCTGAACACCGATTACCACGACGTGCAATGCTAACCGGCGTTAGGGATGGTTGGAAGAAAGTTAAGGGCGGCCAAACCAAAACGTGGTATCAGTCATTGAAGTCACTAACTTCTAGTCTGAGCCATGTTGGTAGATTCAGACTACTTGGTTGGGGTTCGCGTGACAATCCTAACCAATGGTTGGAGACTCTAGGTGACATGGCTCAGAATCAACCAGAATGGCGTCGGTGTATACACTCTCTGTCTTCCCTTAAACTATGAGATTAAAATCGCTTCATATCTTTCTACGAACTAAATCTTTCTTCCTGTACTATATCCTTATATGCAATCCTTCTTTTATACATTACCACCATTGACTTAACCACTCCTATGAATCCGGTGTTCATCTTGTTGTGCTAATGTGGTACGGCAAGTTGGACCGATGCATATATGTGACTCGTCCCACGTTGTAGCTGACTAACTTACTATTAAAAACCTGAAAGCACTGAATGGTCGCTTCGCCTTAGTATAAGACTCATCAACAGTGCGCATTCACACTCTCACATGGGGGGTTCCAACCGAGGACCATCGACTGCCCCGACTTGCGATGTTTTTTGGTGTAGGAGGAGGTCGGAAGAAAGCTAAGGGCGGCCAGACCAAAACGTGGCAAACATTCATGAAGTCACTGACAAGTGGACTGAGTCGTGTTAATATGTATAGACTTCCTGTGTTGGGGACCGCGAGATGATAGCAACCGATGGTTAGAGACCCTGAATGACATGGCTCAAAATCGTTTGCAATGGCGCAGGTGCATACACTCTTTATGGTCTTCCAAATTCTAATCTCCCGACTTCATCATGTCCTTTTTTTTCTGCACTGGATTATACTCCTTGAATAACATCTTTAAACCCTAATCTTTCCGATTACTGCTTATAGTTTCACTACCTCTACTACTGTGGGATTTGAATTGACAATTGTATCTCTGTCCTAATGTGGTATGGCAAATCGAACTGATGTACGTACACACGAAGTTCTATGTTGTTGCTGATTGACTGACTGACATAAGTAACTCATTGTACTTCAATACTTATATTCTATAATAATATGTTTTATTTTATGATTATTTTTATATTTAATTCAGTCAATTACACATAATTCATCTGCAACAATTATTTCCATTATTCTACTTATACTTGGTGTCATGATACTACTTATTTTATGGATTAAATCAAATAATCATAGAATGATAAACAACACATCAAATTATCGTTTTGATAGTAGACATTTTAAAGTAAATACAAGTAATGCATTAAATCGTTTACATAATTGGTTTATACCATGGAAAAGAAATAATTTCACTGGATTTATAAACAATAATAATAATAGTAATATCGATGGTTGGAATAATACTGATAGAATGTCTTCAACTTATAATGATAGTCGAACTATTTTATGGCCACCTACATCTACCACTAATCCATCAATGCATAAACAAACTATAAATTCAAATCTATTCAAAACCAATTGTATACAATCAAAAATATTCAATAAACAAATAAAAACTACTCAAATGAGTAGTAATAATAATGATGATATTCCTCATTTATCAGATCCCAATAGGAATAATAATGATAACAATACAATAATTATACCAAAAAAGTCTATTTCAATTCCAACATTCAAAAAAGGAAGTGGCAATGTTGTACATCAATATTTTCATCGTAATGATACAGATATGACTAATTTATTAGAAGCAGAAGAAATTCCATCTACATCTTCATTATTATCATTATCATCAATGAATATAATTACTACTACTACTAATAATAATAATAGTAATACTTGTAATTTGAAACAAACATTCGGTGATCCATTAACTTCATTTGCATATAAAAATTCTTTAATAAGTAAGCTTCGTACTATTATTTTTATCATTTTAGTTGTATTATTTGTTGTTGTAATACTACTTAAATGCTTTACTATGTGTATTGTTTTTTTTATAGTGAAATTACATTTGAAACTACTACAATTATTCACTTAGTATTGCTTACTTCAGGACTGGTCTGCGTTAACACCTGAAGTAAGGATAGGGAGTGAAGTAGTCGAACGCGTTGACAACTTCACTTATCTTGGAAGTCTGATCAGCCCTAATGGGTTGGTGTCTGACGAAATCTCAGCACGGATTCGAAAAGCTCGTTTGGCTTTTGCCAACTTACGTCACCTGTGGCGAAGGCGAGATATCCGTCTATCAATAAAAGGACGAGTATACTGCGCGGCAGTCCGTTCTGTTTTAACTTACGGCAGCGAAACATGGCCATTAAGAGTAGAAGACACTCGTAAGCTACTAGTATTTGACCACAGATGCCTTAGAAATATTGCTGGCGTCTGCTGGGATAACCGGGTAAGTAATAGTGAGGTTAGACGCAGGGTATTAGGAAATGATGGTAAATCAGTTGATGAGGTTATGAATCTTCATCGACTGAGTTGGTTGGGCCACGTGTTACGTATGCCTGAACACCGATTACCACGTCGTGCAATGCTATCCGGTATTTGAAATGGTTGGAAGAAAGTTAGGGGCGGTCAAACCAAAACGTGGCATCAGTGCTTGAAGTCACTAACTTCTAGTCTGAGCCATGTTGGTAGATGCAGACTACTTGGTTGGGGTCCGCGTGACTATCGTAACCAGTGGTTGGAGACTCTTGGCGACATGGCTCAGAATCGATCACAATGGCGTCGGTGTATACACTCTCTGTCTTCCCTTAAACTAAGAGATTAAAATCGCTTCATATCTTTCTTTCTACGAACTAAATCTTTCTTCCTGTACTATATCTCTATATGCAATCTTTCTCTTATATATTACCACCATTGAATTAACTACTTATATGAATCCGGTGTTCATCTTGTTGTGCTGATGCGGTATGGCAACCTGGACCGATGCACACATGTGCCTGGTCCTACGTTGTAGCTGACTGACTGCTTACTTGAATTTTCCCATTAATGTTTAACACTACAATCTGATTAGCTGACGAGTCCCAAATAGGATGAAACGCGAGTCCTGGATTCTACTGTTAACAATTATTCATCTTCACTACCGTTATTGTTCTATTGATTGATTGAAAGCTTCAGGATCTTTAAATGAGCATATTAATTCATTCAATGATATAGTTAGAATTCGGAAATCCACTTTTATGAATTTACTCAGTATACAAAATATCGATGACAGTCATGTCGTCTATGGAGATTAGTCTCTTTTTTAAATATCGAACAGTTGGATTACCAGACTGCTAAGTTACTGGAAATCAAGATTGATTGATTGTTTGTCTAGTCCTTTAGATGCTGCTCGAATTCTATCAATCAAGTACTAATTTAGCCACTAGTTTAACGCAGTCACTCGCTCAGTGGTAATGTCTTATATTATGAAACTGTTTAACACGAGTTCGAACCCTAAAGGAAGCATTGATTCCCCGAAGAATACATGTACTCTTTGCTGACAAGTGATAATTAACATGAAACCTTGTTGAAGTGGAGTTTTTCTCCAGCTACCTCCAAACACCTGGCATCTCAGTACTGGAAATCAGACTGGGTTATTTAATACAATGAAAATAATCTGAATTTATATAAAAAAACCTTTAAATTGACGTTGTATTTAATTTCTCTTTAAATTATATTGGACATTCAATGTCCCCAACAGTGACCCAAAGGTTTTTGTTTGATCTTCAGTGCTAATCGGTATCACCTACTGAATTTTCTAATGACAATACAGATTATAATTTTCCTATCCCACATTTACCGTTACAGCTTATATTCTAGCGTCCTTTACCTTGAATAAATATACTTCCTGACCGATACAATTCACATTGAAATAATTTAAGCTTTGCTCCTATTGCTTTGCCTATTCGCAAACTTTTTCCAATTCTCAATCTTGAGTCCTTAAAAGTGAGGTCTCGATCCAAGCTTTTACTATTATTTCAAGCACATGTAAATGACCAAACAAAGTATTGGTAAGTGAATATAACATGACTACTACATTGACTATCACGACAACCGAATATCATTTGTATGAAATAATCTGATTATATTCTCTTTAGATACTATTCATATGTATACATCGAAAATTTTGTAGTTTACCCACTCATAACATGTAGTTTCAATTCCATGACACTTAATTTAGATATAAAGTAAGGTGTCTTGACTTTATATACTCAAATACAAACAGACTTTTATACAAAATTATTGTGACTTTATTGGCCGCTAGTTGTTACGTAATTTATTCGCCAATCAAATTACGACTTATTTGCTACTATGCTGTACCAAACCAATGACGTTCGACCGGTATGAGCAGTCTAGCGTCCTTATTCATCATATGTCCGCCTAGCCCGTTCACTTGAGTCCAGAACACAATACCACCTTCTGCAATATAAATCATTTATTTCAAACATACTCGATTTATATATCCACCAGACAGACCACAACGTACCATAAAATAGGAAATAATATTTGTACACATTAAAGCCAAAAAGTGACTGTGAATGTGGGAGGCAGTAGTCAATAAACTGATCATAGCTTAACAACCGTAAATCGTACAATAATAAATTATAGATCAAAATAAAGCTTATAACAAGGGGAACATAGATATATATAATCTAATTATTGAATAGTTATATCATAAGAATATATAGATAATATTAGTCAATTAATATGTCTCAGAAGTTACTCATGATTTAATCTTCGCTCGAATATAACAAAAATCTAATAAAAACTAATCTATTAGACAGATCAACACTTTTGTTTACTCTGTGTAGAGTAAACAATCTTCATAAAGAACTCAAGTTAACGGTTGAACGGTTGTGTCCTATTGCTTAACAGTTTCATAAAACGATACATCTCACTACAATTTATTTTTGTTTTCCATTTTATAATACTTTATTTCCTTTTTTTTTAAATGTAGAATTATCCAATGGATCGACAAGGGTATACAACAAGAATAATGAATGTAATACTTCGTCGGTTACTAATACTGCTAGTAATAATAATAATAATAATAATAATAATAATAATAATAATCATTCTGGTGAATTACATCAAACTATGCTACAACAAAGTACACCATTCACTAATCATCATAAAGACATTTTAGATCAATAAATGAAGAAATAATCCTTGACTTCACTTTAAACTCTTCCATTACTCATAGTTTCCAGTATAAAGTAAAGGAAAGAGAAGATAATGAAAGCAAACAATACTGACGACAACAATAACAGTATTATTAATAATCAAAAGACGAAATATGAATATACAGAAAAAAAAAGAGAAAATTAAGTCTTCTCCCCTTTTCTAACACTTTATGTTATTGTTGTTGTTGTTGCTGTTTGCTCTTTCCTTTTTTTTGTTTTCTATTCAATGTTCATTTGTTCTTTTCGTTTTCATTTGTTTTATTTTCTCTATTTCGATGTTAATACTAATAATGATGATTAATCTCATATTGAATACTCAAACACACATATATATAGGTGATTTTTTCATCTCATTAGAAATGATGGCACTATTACGAAAACTGTTGATACCTAAAAAAATGGATTTAATAACTTACGCTGACCAATAATTCAACGGTACATAAGATGAAAAGTTTATTCTGAACTAGAAAGCTTTTTTGTCTTGAAAAGTAGCAATTATACTAAGTGAAATTACTGTATAAGTGATCGATTGTTTGAAATATTTTTTTCACTTTTACGTATACTTCGGATAACACGTTAATAGGATAATATGACTAGTCACGTTATATCGAACCCGGGATTCATAACTCAGAATAGAGAACTATAGTATATACTAGATAATATTTTATTCAACACAATTACAAGCAGTCACTCTCACTGAGTTCGAAGTCAAAATCGATGACGGGAAATGGAATCACATATTTAGTAGTCCCTGTATCATATCAATAAGTCGTGTTAATATCAATCTGAAAAAGAGACATCAGATACATAGAACTTATGAGATGTTGCTAGAACTGTGGTCCAGGAAATGCGTTTTGTCTCATTTAAGAATCGTCAGATGAAATTACCTGCATCCTAAAGTTCTAATCCAGTGCCTTTCGTTCCGAAAGCCTTGCGCGTTATTTGCATAGCCAACCAAAACTGGTCAGATTCAGTCAAATATAATTAACAGGATGATCCAGAATGTTAAAAATTAAGTCGAGATTCATGCAAGACCAACAACTCTTCATTGGTTTCTGAACTGAGAGCTTCATTTGAACGATCTCTTGTTTCATTTTCCTCCGGTACTACCAAAATCTCATGTACATTTAACAAACCATCACCTCGCTGTGAGCTGGACATTATGTTTCGTACACAACTTGATTTGAACCCACAATAGTGCATGTTTCTGAAATGACCATTACTGGACCGCTCTTTGCATAAAAAAATTCCTTATTTTCTGGAATACCTGGAAAGTTCAATCAAGACTGCTCCAAGTAATTGCAGTTGAAAAGCTAACATTTGCTGCTGTAATAGTAATTGCGATTGTTTGGAAGAGAGTGCCGATTTCTTTCTTTTCACTATAATTAACTCTAAAAACCTGTGGCAATTATTATGAATTATTTCTTCTCGAAATCCACGTCGACAATTGTTATGACTTGTCTTGTTAATCATCACGTGATAAGATCGCCAATCAGAATACGACTTACATAACCTTGGCCAATGACGCGTTAAACTAGTACGGGAAGCTTAGAGTGGATGTGGTAATCAACACAATACAGATTTTTACAAGTATTGACCAACTTGAAAACCTGTCGGGGAAACATGAGGAAAATGTTTTCAGCACATAATGTCATTGAGAACGTAAAACAAATTCGGTGATCATTTCCAATGTATCTTATATGACTAGTCAGTCACTAGTCACTCACATGTATGATATCAGACGTCACTTTGTTTCAATAAATGTACCTAATCCACCAAAGCTCAAGAACATTATAAATCAAATAGATGACTTGAAAAGGACAGCATTCATGACTCAAACTTGAAACTGTCAAGCAGTGTAAGTAAACCACTTGTTCCATGAGATCTGAATTTAAGTGGTAAAAGACCGCTTTTGGTTATGTAGATGTATGCTTCGCATTACATTCCTTCTGGAAGTTGAGAAGTGAGAACGATTTAGACGACAGATGAAGTAACCAGTGAGTAGCACCTGAGAACCCCTCTCAGTACCTATAGAATTATAGTGATTTTTGGCCCTTCCTCTAAGAGACTCATCAGACAGGGCTGCTGTAGAATAATTGGTTGTTAACCACATGATTTGCTACGATTTATACCCGCTGACCAATATCACACGACAAAGTCAGCAATCGAAATCTGCCCATATCTCAGCTCTCACGAGTTCACGATTTTCTAACTCCCGTCTGTGCTGCTCTTGGATATAGAAATCAGTAATCAATCTTTAGAATATAAATATCATGTCTCAGGCATACGTAAATTATATACGGACATACTGTACCATACTACAACGTACAAGCAAAAGAATTATGCATGAATAGTAGGCGAGACTGGATAATAAACTAGCAATAGGCTAAGAATAGGTAATAATATAACAGCAGTTAATGAATTAATCGAAATCTAATGGCAAAAGGAATGTACATATGATATACGTAATGATATAATAATACATGTAACGTACATAATATTACAAAGGATACTGAATAACACTACGAGTACAATAATAATATATTTCTGATACGACAGGCACATGCCAGTTCGCTAGCATGAACAATAATTTATATGGGATTATATATCAGATGTTAACAAAGGGGAATTTTTTAATAGATACAATCAGTGGAAATAAACGATAGAATATTCATTTAGATATATCAACACCTTAATGAATAACATTGCATGTTTACGGTTGTTACCCCGGCCACGAAGAGGAAAATGCTCCATACACTCAGAGATTTTCTTTAACGCTGTCCAAAGAAGCACGAGATGCACTTGTATGCTGGGAATCTCACGGATCCAAAATCATCAAACCATCATTCAAAACAAAGTGGGAGGAAATCGCAATCGATCTTATCCAGTGTTAGGCCCCCACTAGTTATAGCAACGACGACAATAAAAATCAATGGGAGGTTGCAGTCAATCAGAGCGAAGTGCTCAAGGAAAAAAGATCTCACCATTCTGATGGGAGATCTAAACAGCAAAGTCGCAATGGACAACACTGTATATGAAGATATCATGGAACGACATGGTCTGGGAGAGAGCAACGAAAGTTGGTGAAGGTTTGCGAATCTATGTACATTCAACAAAATGTTTATAGGCGGCACAATAACTTCACGCAAACGCATATACAAAGCCACATGGATCTCCACGGACCAAACCACAGAGAACCAGATAGATCATATTTGCATCAATAAAAAATTCCAAAAGACAATAGATGTGAGAACCGTAAAAGGAGCTGAAAGAGCTTCAGATCACCAGCTGGTTGTGCCCAAGATGAAAGTGAAGCTAAAGAAACAGTGAACAACTTGAGGGCGCAGAATTACAAAGCTTCAATACAACCTTCCTTTAACATATTGACGATCTCAAACCGTTTGGCATCAAGTCACCACTAACCGATCAGCCCACTCCATATGCAAACAAACGACTTTCCAATGTCAGGGTGAGCTTCACTTTTTCTCAGGCTTTAGAATGTCCTAGTGGAGTCCCTCACAGTTCAGCACTAGGACTTTTTCATTTCGTAATTCGTATAAATGACATTCAGCAAGTATAGGCCGATTTCTTACTTTTCGCTGATGATGTGAAACTTTTGAAAGACGTTCGCGACTAAGATGATAAACTGGCACTTCAGGATGATCTGACCAGACATCAAGGATGGGAACATAACAATGGACTCACCCTTGACATGTCAAAGTGTATTCATTGTGAAAATTCCAGAATGTTTTACTTACCATACTTGTAGCTACATTGCTTTTAGCGACACACGTCTTTGGAAAGTAAGAAACTTCAAGAGCGCTTTTTATTTTGCTCAGAACAATCACATGACTCCTGGTGTTTAAGTCTACATTTTTAGTCGAGGTTTTAAAACTGAAGGTCGAGTGGTGCTCGTTAGGACCAGGATGGAAAATATCAGCGATGATGAGCTGCGATCAGCTTTGTCTAGATATTTAGATGTTGTTCCACCGGTGACAGGTAAGTTTTTGCTTTACATGAGTGTGAAAATTAGAATCAACTCGAGCAACTTTGATCGCTAAGCTGAAAAAGTGCATATCAAACGGTTCTGAAAGTTTATTAAAGGATACTCCACAAAACGGCATAGATAATCTTATCAACGTAACAGAAGATAGGTAACTGAGTGTGAAAACCTACTTTTTTCTGTAGACCAATACAGACTTTAATTTCCGACGATAATCGTGAATCACCGAAATATGAGACGACTGAAGTACTACATAAGTAAGCGATTCTCATTAGTTTACAGAGTAAATATTCATATTTTAAAAGTATCTGGTCACAACCAATACATTTCTGTGCGTCTAATCTAGTGGTCAGACTGTTTCTTTAGGAGAATGGTAGTGACCGAAATTCGATAAATTCCAGATGTTTATCTGTGACAAGGTGATTTCCTTTGGTTTCAGTGCTTACCTGTGGACTAATATCCAGTAAAATCACCTCCAATTGTCAATGAACCACTATGTAGCCCCCCAGTTATTGTTTAAAGTTGACTAAATGCTTGGAAATGTTAAGACAGAAGGGTTTGTTCGGAATGCCTGTAGTGTTAGCTCGTCAAAGTCATGCGTCGATGGAAAAACCAATAAAGCTCACTTTAAATATAATCAAGTCTGATTGTTGGGACGGGACTTAGTCACCTGCATTTTAAGTAGCCGAACCTAATATAAATCGAGACCACTGTCTTTTTGTCCATTCTCTGTTGTCTGGTTAAATGGCTTCCCTTGTGTCGCACCTATCTTGGCAAAGCATCAGGAAATGCCCCTATACGGAAGGTTTTATAGCGTCACGTTGAGTGTAAGGTCACCAAAATGTCTCAATGCTAGTCAGTCGGTAAGCAAATCCAAGATCCTACCCGTTAACCATATTTCTATTAAAACTAATGATACCTCCAAACTTCTCGTACCATCAAATACTTCATAACATGTCAGTTATGAGCCATTTGAGTGCCGTTACTCCTCATAATCAGTGTGGCGTAGTTTAACACATGGTTTATCACTCTACTTCAATAGGTAGTAAATTCAAAGCCTGGTTTATCTGCTTCAAGTTTGGAGAGCGTGTAATATCACAAAACATTACACAAATAGTATGGCCCGAATCCGAGATAAAACTTCCGATAAATAACTTTAATTCAGTGTATGCATCAATATATAGTTACTAAACGTTAAGTTTAAATACATTTCATCCTGACTGCTGAAATTGCATGATATTTCACTGAATTTTATCAACTAGTAATATTCATTTCTCTGCTAGTTTAGCAATGTCTTTCAAACTTAAAGAAATGTAATGTATTGTTTTCTAATGATGCAAATAAAAATGACTTGGTGGATAAGATTTCTACTGCAATGCTGCTTACCAACACCACACTAGTATAGACCCAATCTTTATCGCTCCCTGCTTAAAAACAAATACTGATTGAGATCTCTTCCCTATCTCATCATCAGTCTCATCTGCCACTCCTTGTTAAGGATGAAATAAATAGACTGCGGCTTTAAAATTCTAACTTGAAAAATCAGGTCAAAATTCGTATCTTCCAATCTAATGGTTTGAAGCTTTATACCCAAATTCTCGGATATTTTATTGGTTACATTAACAAGCAAAAGGCAGTAGAAAATTGTGCCCGCGCATTTCTGTCATGTTTAACCAGAAATTCACAATTAATGATGTTCTTGAATTTTTGCCTATCTAGTGTTGTTTGACTACTGAGCTCTTAGTTTGGAAGTTGTCCGGGTATCGCTTAAACAGAGGATCAGTTAGGGCGTTCTTACAATCATATATCATTATCCTGCTCTATAATGATCAATCAGCTACAACGTAGGACCAGGAACATATATGCATCGACCGAAGTACCCACACCTTATTAGCACAACATGAACACCGAATTCATAGAAGTAGTTAATTCAGTGGTGGTAATATATAAAAGAAAGATTGCATATATGGGTATGATACAGGGAGAAAGAATTAGTTCGTGGAAAGAAGAGCATAAAGTAATTTTAATCTCATAGTTTAAAGGAAGACAAAGAGTGTATAAACCTACGCCATTATGATCGATTATAAGCCGAGTCTCCAACCATTGGTTACAATAGTCGCGCGGACCCCAACCACGTAGTCTGCATCTACCAACACGGCTCAGATTAAACGTTAGTGACTTTATGAACTGGTGCCGCGTTTTGGTCTGGTCACCCCTAATTTCTTCCATCCGTCTACAACACTAGTCAGAATTGCGCGTAGGGGTAATCGGTGTTCAGGCATACGCAACACGTGGCCCAACCATCTCAGTCGAGGAAGATCTACCCTGCATCTAACCTCACTATTACGTACCCGGTGATTCCAGCAGATACGAACAATATTCCTAAGACATTTATGATCAAATGCCAGTAACTTAAGAGTATCTTCTACTCTCAGTGGCTACGTCTCGGGACCGTAAAGTAGAACAAAACAAACTGCTACGCAATATACGTGTCCTTTAATTGATAGATGGACATCTCGCCTTCGCCATAGGTGACGTAAGTTGGCAAAAGCCAAATGAGCTTTTCGAATTCGTGCTGAGATTATGTCAAACACAAACCCATCAGAGCTGATCAAACTTCCAAGATAAGTGAAGTTGTCGACATGTTCGACTACTTCACTCCCTATCCTTAGTTCAGGTGTTGACGAAGGCCAGTCCTGAAGCAACAACTTGCATTCAGAGGGAGAGAAACACGTCCCAGACATTCTGATATTGTTGCTCAGAGCTACCAAAAGACTGCATTTTATCAGCATCTTCACCAATCAGGACTATATTATCTGTGTATTCTAAGTTGATAAGTGGAGCTCCTGGAAGGTGATCAGTGCTTGAAAATTCAGTCGACGAGAACGTTATTTCCAGCAGTAGGTATATGATGAAGTTGAACACAAATGGAAATATTGGACAGCCTTGACGGACACCACTTGAGGTCACAAAATCACAAGACAGTTCGACATAAGCTCTCACTCTATTAGTATTGTTTGAGTAAAGAGCCTTCACAAACTTTATGTACTTCTGCATTGCCACAGAACCTCTTGGTCAATAGAGTCAAGTGCTACTTTTAAGTCAAGGAAGACCACCATTATCGGACACCGATAAGCATGTCTGTGCTCTAAAGCTTGATGAGTGTTGAATATGTGGTCGATGCAGCCACGACCAGGTCTGGAGCCAGCTTGATTCTCTCGTGTTTGCAGTTCACGAGTCTTAGGCGTCTGATAACTATCGAGGCTAGTATTTTAGATGTTATTTCAGTCAAACTAATCCCTCTATGGTTATCACAGGATGATTCTAACCCTTTCTTATATATTGGGACAATCAGTGATTGTGACCAGTCAGATGGGATTACGTTCAACTCCCAGATTTTAGCTAAAATATTAGTCAACCTAATCGCTAAACTTGAACCACCATCCTTAAAGACCTCTGCAGCCAATCCATCTGGACCAGCTGCTCTTCCCCGTTTCAGATTGGCTATAGCCTTTTGAGCTTCAGCTAGAGTTGGGGGACCTACTTCAATGTTCCATTCAGGCTGTCTGGAAATGGTGGGTAGTTGTAGGGTAGATGAAGGCCAGCTGAAATGTTCCTTAAAGTGTTCCGCCCATCGTTCTAAACGTCTGGGCTGAGATCGGATAAGTGTCGTCTTTTACCGAGATAGTTTCACTTACACTCGACTTCTTGATTCCAGTTTCTTTTATTAGTCTGAAAAGCTGTCTGGTTTGCCTACAGCCGTTGCCTTTTCCATCTCTTTTACTTTCGCTGCTCACGGTCGTCCCTTAGACTTTTGGTTAACCTAGATCTGATTTGTTTTTGCTCGTAATCAATTTTGGAACGTGATGGGATGAGTTTACAAGAACCCATCAGTGCAATATACTTAGAAATCTATCAATTTTTTGTAACCTTGTGGTTTAAATCATTAATAGATGTCACTACTGTTTCCACAGCTGTTGTATATTTATCCAAGCAATATCTGGGTCAGCCTCGTTCTCAGGTCTACCTAAGTGTGACCTCAGTTGTTCCTGGAACCCACTTTCGGTTTTCTCGTTACAGAATTCAGTTTTAATGAGTCTTTTTAATGTGGCTTTTTTGCGTCCAGTGAGTGCCGGTATTAGAGCATGATCGGAGTCCATGCAGGCATTCCAGAACGAGCGACAGTCTTCTATCGGGCCTCTCCAACGATGACAGATGGCACTATGATCTATTTGAGTTCATCGTTTGTTTGGTGCAAGGGGTCGCCAAGGAAGCCTGCTGACCGATTTGACATAGGGTGCGTACGTTAAAGGCTCCATTGTGTAGTTTCAGTAGACATAGGGCAGTGTTTTGCGCACTAGAATCGTTGGCTATGGTGACACGAGGAGGAAGCCAAAAGAGGAAGTTGAGAGTTGAAAGTTGACGTAGGAGGAATAATCGAATTGCAGAGGGAGGTTGATTATGAATACAGTGGTCTTGAGTGCTGTTAGAGGTATGAAAGCGGCTACCACTTCCCGGTTACCCACACCATGGAAGGGTCCTTTTGGAGGTACCTGAAAAGGAAATTGAACTAGAGATGGTCTTAGTGACCTGAGAGCGTGACCACAGTGCCCAAGGGACAACTGTTTTGAGTTCGGTCACACACGACCTATTTGTGAGTAATTTTCGTGTTAGCTCCATACTTGTTGAGACCTTGACGCCAGAGACGGAAGTCGGTGAGATAACGCGAGACGCTCATTTTTAGGATCGAGCTTTTCTAACCACACCCCTTTTTGTGGGAAGGCAGCATCGCTGTCATGCTGGTTGTCTGGAGGAAACACCGTACTGCCATCACACATGCACAGTCAGCAGTACGACTTCGCCTTCAGACCTTGGGTTTGCTGTTTTTAGTCTTATTGCTCTCCAACCAACCTATCTGGCATGGTAGAACCTTGTGGAACAATTGTTCCAGCTAGTATAGCTCGATTGGTTCATTACGATAGACAAAGTCGACCACCACGTCAAGGTATCAGCAGCCAAGTAGGACTAACATTAGTCCAGGTTTGAGAATAAATAGACTCATCACCCGAAAATTGCCATGCTGACGTATATTTGGTAACTGTAGAACCGAGTGGGGAAGCAGTTGCGTTCATCTTTCGACGCACCATCGTAAAATAGAGAACAGTTGTATCCAGTTACTGTCAGACGGTATATCATGACCACCAGTAGCTTGAAATGCTACCAGAAATTATTCACATTAAAAGCTGGTGATGCTCCTGTGCTATTTTTTCTACTATTGCGTTCTTCTTAAGCACTTAGATATACCATTAATATGTAATAAATCTATCCTGGTTGTATTTTTGTTTAAGCTATGTCGGTTGCTATTTTGTCCTTAAGATTATTACAACTTCCGTTTCTTTTTCTATTGCACGTACCTTAGCACCTTGTTTCAAGCCTTTTCTAATAAAAATGATTAAATATAGAGATTGCTTTTGGGAGTATACGCTAGAGGTAAATGTAACTTATTAAGTACTGGTTCTGTGTACTCAGTTTTGAGGGTTAGTGATACTACCTGGCTGCCCAAATCGGATTTTGTACCTGATAGTAGTCCAAGTATCAATTTACTGTTCTGAATGAGGGTTAGTGACAAAGGCTATAGGTACTTGATAATTATTAGCAAGAAGTCCTCATTTTCTGTACGTGCAATTTTCTCATGAAGTCTGAGTATCAATATCATCCATATTGTTTTTATCTTTATCAAATGTCTACTTTAGACCCTTGTCTACTAAAGAACTATCTGCAAGTTTTATGAATGGGTTACCAGTACAAAACCACTCATCTCCCATACTAGAATGTGTTTCTCGACTTCCAAGTTATCGTCGTCGATCTATACATCCAGACCGACCAGGAATAGATGACCCCTACGCTGATGATTTGGCTTGGTTTCCATCGTTATCCTCAACAAAATGTCGTGAACCGTCCAGCAAACAAAAGAAGTCTCAGAACACGAAAGGAATCCTCAGGGAAAATCTTATAAAATCTTTTTTGTATGTCATCATTGGTTTAATGTCTGTCATTCTCGATTGTTGCTTTTCCTCCCTCTCTAAATTAACGAGTAAGTTGGTTGTCTTTTGTGTTTAGTTTTTGCACATATCTGTGGTCAACTAAGATTAAACAGAATCAACCTTACCTCCAAGTTTATGTTTCATTATGTTAAAAAAAAGTTGTTTTTCTAACTTAACCGGGAAAATTTGGGCACTAGTGTGATAGTGTCTCAATTTGGATGGAAAAACTTTGAAACGTCAGTCAGGCAAGACTTACAAGATAAGTAAAAGTCAGAGTTAGGTTTAGACCACAAATAGATGTGTAACAACAATTGTGAAGGTTCAGAAATGTTAGCGACTAAATCTTTTTCATTTTTATTCTTTTATGACCTTTATTAATTTTCATATAAAAATGCCCTGACAAGTAACTACTTGTAGTATGTGCCCACGAATGTTGTTTACCATATAATGACTTGTAGACGTTTACCTTATAGGTAAATTATCAATTTGCAAATAAGACCTATAATTTATTCGCGATTATTCAATTGAATTGATGTATTACAAACTAACCACTTTCTCAATTGTTTTTCCAGATGCCGTATCCACTTGTATACCATCTTTACGGATCTGTCTTTGTGTCATTTTATTTGGATTGCTTTTATGTGGACTGTATAAGCTTCTACTCGGGGATCCATTTTATCATAATCCCGTGGAAGATCTATATAACATCATACGGTTTCCTTTTGTTAAATAGGCATTGTTTATTTTATACTGGGATGGCTTTGTAATCCCGGTTCAAAATACTTTAGTGTATTTTTTAAAATAGTTCTTTTTTAACCGTTTTGTACCATACTGTCTACTTTTGTATATGTACTCAGTGTAATGAAATATGAATGTTCTGGTATATATATATTTCGTTCTTTATGACATTCAATCTTTTAGATCATTGAATACTGTCTTGCTATTGCCACTACTCTCCCCTGATAGTAACCAAAATACATATCTCTTTTGTCCTAAAATTAGCATGAACCAAGAAAGGAATTCTTTGTATCCGTACTGAAATAGCGTCAACTGTAAACTCACCAAAGGTGGCATGATATCCAAGTTGAATAAAGTGATCACCAACTTCACATCTTATTGTTATAATCAATATCGCCATAAACGTAACCACCAAACGATTCTTTAAGTTTGGTCTGTGAGAAATGTCCTTAGACTCTTAAAAGCTAAGCAACAATATATCTTTAGAAAACTTGTGTAGAGAAGAATATGCGAAATAATACTGTACATTATCCACCATTTGGTTTGATTCGTTCTTAAATATTCAAATATGAAGCTTTCAGCAGTATGATATAACTAATCCAAGTGGGAGTTCTAAACTTTATTGGCTGACCAAATCAAAACACGATTCATGATCAGAAAATTTGGATACACTTAAAGGGTCAGTAAGTGCTTTTGTCCTCTCGAAGCAAATGAATCTGATCTACACAACGGGAGCTATTTCTTGGTCTTACTCTTCATATCTCAGACATTGAAAAGCAATTAACGCTGGTTGTGAAACCAATGCTAATCAAATCGATTCGGTTGTGATTGTGGCAAGACCGTTCTTGTCTTTCCCACAAACTGGACCCAAACTAGATTTCCAGGATTACACTCGACTCTTAAGATTTGCTACAGTTAACTCGTCAACCAACATTCTTAAGTACTTGTATTACTAGCCTGTTAGGGTATACTACTGTTCCTCGCTCAAAATTACTTGCACTGAATTCCCTCCTAAGTTTCCTTCGAAGTGTGGCTGCGATTTCTTACGGTCAATATTTTCTAACACCTGTCCATGGCAAAATAACATCGTTGAAAATGAGGAACACATTGATACTACTACTGTACTATAGTGTAATCATGCGTGAAAATTACCGTTTACTACTTCCCAACCAGTCTTTTTTGCGAGCATAACAGCGTTTCAGTCAATGTAGTTCGATTTGGTTATTATGGCGGTTTTATGTTTGACAGTCTTTAATGATCCCTCTAAACGTAATTATCTTCAATTTTATGTATACTCATCCGCTGCTAAAAATGGTCTTAGATGTATTACTGGAAATCTACAATAAGCAAGTTGAGACTGGTATTAGCTCAAAGCCTCGGTAAATATTTTGTCTCATTTCATGCTGTCACTTATCACTTTCAGCATACAGTAGAAAAATTATGAGATAAAAATTATCTACCACACTATAAACAAAAGCTTCTACAATTCAAAAGTTTCGTAAATATTACTGCTTTCCAGATAGAAATTTATCCAAGAAATCTTTCGGCTTTTCTGGGAGATGATCTTCTCTAAAAAAGTCCATCACATGCGTATCAGACTTCCACAAACGCGCCACTTCAATTAGTTCATTTTGCCACTAAAAATAGTACGATTAGATAAAGTGAAGTTCAACATACTCTGTGAATTAACAAGTCAATTATACGTACATCTTTTATATCCTTATTTTTACGGAACTCTTCCCTTAATCTTGCATACAAAACCGGCACTGTAAGATCTACGCTACTCTGAGCATATTCTTTTGGTATAAAAGGAAGTTGTCTGTACCAGGAACGATATAAACTAATGACTCGCCTTCGAGCTTCTGCATGATTTCTAGACAGAATTGGCCTTGCAGCTTTCACACCTGACATAATACTATGAAGACAACACAAAGGTAAAAACCAGTAAAGAATACATAGAAGATATATATATAAGTAGCAAAATTTGAGATTAATAATAGTAACATAAATAACGCTTATGAGATGTGGATGAGAGGATTTTCAAATAAATCATAAACAACATAGAGCCTCGCACCCAAATGTCCTGGTACGGCCGAGAGTGGGGGGAGTCCGCTCTCCTTCTCGAAGTGCTCTCACATGGCCACGCCTATACAGCCTCTGCTAGGGAAGTCCTACTCACTGCCTTCTCGTGGCGGGGGTGTTGTTTACGAAGTTGAGAGGACAAAAAGCGAATGTCTGGCGATTTAGTTGGGTTGTTGGACATGGAGAGTCCACCTAGGGGAGTTGGAAAACACTGCTCCCAAACCAATGGTGCACATGGGCTCCAATATCCTGAAGGAACAAATAGCGTATGAATCAGTCATTGGTCACCGGCTACCATGTGAATGCATCTCCTTACATTGCTTTGTGGATCAGACCAGGTCGAAGGCTGTGAGTGTGGTCTCCTAAGAAAACCACCTGCTTCGGTTTGGGCACCCGGGCAGTATCACGGCCCTCACACATATCAAATAAGATTTGCGTGGCGCATATGTATTTGGTGCCTTCTTGTACCAATATCTATGTGTTAAAATAAATATACACATTAGTTACGCAAGATGAAAGTAACAAAATGAACAAAACGATTTAGTAACAATGATCGGGAAAACGGTTCGAAAATAGATAGAGCTTAAGGCTCAATGTAAGATGAACAGTGATTAGATCTTCACTACTAACCAGTTGTGAGCTATGTCATTCATTACCTTAAACAATTAAGTATTCATCTGACAATACAACTCGGTCCAACAATCAATGACTTTATGAACTGAAAATCCGTCTGTTTATCCACCCCTAGCTCTTTTCTAACTTATTTCAACAAAGATCGAGTCTAGGTGGGCAGTGGTTGAGTATACCTAATATATGTCCCAATCCTCTCAATCGGCAGAGCCCTAACCTTATCAACCGATCTTCTTGGAATCCTACACTTAGTTACAGTGTTGCCTACTTGATTTTTCTATGATATCCAATCATTGCTTTAAAAACACCTACGACTTTCTACTTCCGCGGACCACATTCAACAGCCAAATAGTAAAATAGTATATTTATAATCAATTTAATTTCCTTTTAGCTGGTGAACAGCCATCTTGTCACTCCACAAGTGACGCAAGTTTAAGACCAAAGTTCGCCTTCTGAATGTGCATTGAGATATCATCAGACAGACTAACGAGGGCGAAAAAAGCTCAGAAGATAAGTAAAGTTGTTAACGTGTTCCATTGATTCACTACTTACGATCATTCTAGGCCCTTATGTGGACCAATCGTGAAGCAAATTTCAGTGGGAGAGAAACGCATCTGATCAAGCGTACATTATGGCTTAAGGCATCTGGAACACGGGGTTTTGGAAGTCTTCACCAAATATGACTACGTTATCCGCATAGTCCAGTTAGATAAGTGAATCTTTTTGGTAGAGATCTCCGAATAAAAACGCTTGGTATCTAGGTTTTCACAGTAATTATAATAGTCGCTCATAGTGTTGGGATTGACAGTATTGTTGTGACTTTTTGGTATTGTCACATTTGTTGTTGTAATATTTGGATCGTTATACTGCTATGTAATTTACACATTATTGGTTACTATGGCATGTAAAATACTATAAGTACTACGGTGTTATCTCGCAGTCTTTACTTGAGTACTTATTCATTTATTTGAACACATACATATCGGTACAAAGGAGCACCAAATACATATGCTCCATACAATAACAATGAGAATGTGAAGAGGTAGAAAATGTAGGGTGTGTATAAGAAAAAAAAGAACAATAACGAACAGAAATTAGTGTATGATAGTGAAATAATAATGAGAGAAGCAGATCAGTTAGCAAAGGTATAACCAGAAATTCTTCCACTTAAAGGAGTTACGTCCATTTTTTATGAAGAAAGTAAAACAAAGTTATAGCAGAATCGCCACTGGCTTCTATTATGAGCCATGTTTAATAACGTCTCTAGCCACTGTGTTGCACCATTTCTAGGATCCCAACAAGGGGGTCGTGAAGGATAAACAGAAGCCAGTCCTGTACAGTTTCCGTTCATACCGCGACACCATGTCAAACAATAATCACCTCTCCGTTTTTTCCAGCCAGTCTCGTCGTCGGCATATAATGCACGACGTAAAATGTTTTCGAACGACATTCGTAGAACATGTCCAAGCCACCAAAGTTGATGTTTTAAGATGATACCAATTGAATTATCGTCGCTGTGCTCGGACACACAATGCCGAACCTCTGCATTACTAACATGGTGTTGCCACTGGATGTCAACAATCCTTCAGAGACAACGATGATCAAGCACAGAGTCATCCAACACCAAAAAATAACCCCCGATCTTCTATTCTCAAAGCGCAAAATTAAGTGACTTTTACAGTACACTTTTCAAGATTTTCGATAAAGTTCTTCAGTAGTTAAGTTCATTGCAACGTGCACTTCGGGGCTTGCTAGGGAATGAGTGCGGCGACATATATTATAGCCTCACGTAAGGCTATAATTTGCGGACGATTTTTGAGCGACGCCAAAGTAACTTCGAGAAAACCCGCTCATTTACTAAGGTCAACAGAGATATAAACTAGTGTAAGGAACTAGGGTCAGGGTTAAGGATAAGAAGTTAGGGTTAAGAATTACAGTTTGGTTTTGCATTACAATCTGGCACAAACATTACAATCTAACCATATAGGCGAATAAATTCCACACCAAAATGCGAAATCTGCTATTGATTTCACTGGTTTATCTACAAACTACAGCATTCCCTAGAATGCTATAAACTTAATTAAAAGTTCAAAAAAGTAGATAGACCAAGTAGGAATTCGAAAGTATGGTGCTAAGTACGAGTCAGATGTTATAATTATTGATCTCGAAAAAGTTTTATCCAAACCCAATTACATCGGCAAATCAGACAAACCAGACAAAAGGTAAAATAAAGGTGAACTTTGAGGAATTTAAGATAAAACCCTTAAGAGTTCAAATGGTTGTGGACGGAATAGAAGAAGCTTTCGCTTAACGAGCTTCTAGAAGTCAGTGTGAATATATGTGACAATGAATCTAAATGCGGCCCTTTCCCCAGACCGAGATGGAATTCGCGCATTTTTCCAAGAATTTTCTCGTTGAGGGGAGACAGCTCGATACTAAAACTTACCTTTTTTAAGATTTCTGCTCCCCGAAACACAGAAATCCAGCGAGTTTGAAACTCTCGGTTTACCTAGAACGCTTCATGTCCTTGAGGTTCAAATGGTTCAAACGGTTCAAATGGTTGTGAACGGAATAGAAGAAGCCTTCGCTTAACAGGCTTCCGTATCTAGTAGCAGAGGATCACCAAATCCTCCAGGCAGGAACCTAGGTATGTTAACAATAAAACAGGAAAAGTTCATGAGACAAAGCACCAATCAAAACTCGCTTCAGCCCTAATAACTTTGACTCAATATATGGGTTCCTATCGATTCACGTTTCCTCAGCTTCTCCCTGCCCTGTGTTTGAGACCGGAATTTGATAAATTTATTTGTATTTTAATATTTATTAGCAAATCAGACCACATCAAATTATGAGGTAAAAAATAACAACCATATACGATTAATTAGGAGAGACTGTAAATTATAAACTGGCATCAACTTAAGAGCAGTAAATCATAAAACGATTAACGGAAAACCAATGATAACACATATGATAATCTAGTTACTTCATAATTATACGTAGCATAACAATCCATAAATCGGTTCTGGAAGTGAATATTCACTTAGTTTACATTCAGGTTAAACACCTATCCATTCTTGCAGATTATCAGATGCGGTCCTTACAGGGTCTTGCTTATGTCTTCATATAAGTACAAACTACTTTAAAAGAAAATGACCACAGTTTGCTTTTCATAAAAGTATAAGTAATTTTGTGTCTTAGACATTTCTTCCCCATCAAAACCATACTGGACCTTTGAATGCTCACTCTAAAAATTATGTGACTTTATTGACCTGAACTTTTTTGACACTACACATACCCTTAGTATATGTGAGCGATCAAGTGTGTGGATATACTTGAGGCTTAAAAATAATTTTACGCTGCCTTAATTTGTACGGACATTACTATATATGGTACTTTTTTCGTCTCTCATACAAAAAATAAGATACGGTTCTTTTACTCGCAATACTGATGAGTGCGTCTTATAACTCAGTGTGTTAATAAGAAGCAAATGACACATTAAAAGCATACTGCTCATACTGACTCCAGAATTTGCTAGAAGTGAATGCACTGTAAAGATTCACAATATTTGATATTGGAATGTCAGGAGAGTATTTAGGGTTGAATTCATTTCGGGCTTGTGCCTCATACTGACCAAGGTTTGCACCAAAACATTTGATGAAAACTAACAACATCTGACATGACATAATCAAAAAGTTTGTCAGGATTTGTTCCTCTGAAATATCTCTGTCAAATTTATTGTGGAGTCCACTGGATAATAAATCATCAGTATAATCAACATTTAAAAAATTCGGACCAGAGTTCCGATCATAAATTGATCCATTCGACATATATTCGTGTTGATTATAAGAAATTCCAATCAGTATGGAAACCCATATCTTGTAAAACAACATGGAAAGTCTGAACGGACATTGATTCATTAGGAACATTTGTCACACAGTGACAGCGAATTTCTCTTGATGTACATGCATCCATTATGCTTCTTTGATTGTTTTCTAAATATAAGTCCCTCAATCTTGCTGGGGAAATATCATATGAACCATAAGTTTGTTTTGGCGGGGGTTCAGGGCCACATTTAATTTTGGACTCAGCTTTATTTACACAGTCTTCGGTTTTGTGATCCCCCGGTACCGCCATAGTTTGTGCTCATTTACCATGATTTCGTCTTGCAGTAGGCTTGACATTTCGCTAAATTAACATTTGACTTCGGACAAAACCGAGTCTTAATATTCCACAGTGTGTTTCTGAAACGACCACTTCTTGAAAAGGTCATACTTGACTGCCAGTCTATCGCTTAACGAAATGCCCATGAACGATTCATGCAATCCTCCACTGACACATTCATTCATTCTGCAGCCATTTTCCGCTTCTGTACGCAATTTAGAAGTGAAGCCAACACTGTTATTCATATAATCAAAAAGTAGATAATCCAGCAGCCCCATGCGTAATTTCCCTAAAAATTCCAAGTAGTTGTCCCTAAAAATCTGCCGTTGCTTCTGAGATATTATTATTATATTGACTGTAATTATACGAGAAAGTGGCATTCTTTGAATGCTACGATAATTTTGTTAGACTTTTCACCAAATTTAACGTCATCAATTTGTTACGGCTTTTTTTCCCTCCAATAACGTGCTTGCCAAATTATATGCGATGGGGGAGAAATTTTATAGCTCAAATGAATGATTGAGATGGAGTTTTGTTCTCTGGGCTAAACGGTTTTGTCGTGGAGATTTCATCTGTCGTCTGAACGACATCAACACAAACTTTGGGTAGATGTAAAGTGTCCGAATTTCTCCACATGTGGTTCACAGCTTGTCCTGTAAACCTCGATGTTCATTAGTTCTTGTTGACATTAAACCTGTCACTGGCTACCTTGTTTTGCTTGTATCTCCAATTGGTTTGATTTTTGTTTTTATGTTTGTTCATAATTTTTCTAACTGGTTGATAAATTGGATCGCATTCAATGTACTTGTTTATTACTGATTGATCTGAGTGTCAAGCTTCGAAAAATTCTCTGACGTTTTCAGAATTGCCTCTATTTATAGTGTAACATGCGGAGAAATTCGAATTTTGTGCTGTTGATGTCATCCAGAAGAACGATGAAAGCTACACAAACAAACCATCCAGCTCGGAGAATAAAACTCTATCAAATTACATGTTGTATGGCCCTTTCGATATCATGTGACGAAACTGCTAATCAAAATATTGACTTCTCTGACCTTTTGCCTTTCTATGGGCATTTAATAAGACGTCATCCTGTTTTGAACCTGACAATTCGCTAGTTGCGAAAAATACATCGTGGAGAACATAGTTTGAACACAACGTAGAGCGTGTTTGTGAAAAGGCCATTAATAGACCATATGAAGGAGCATACAAGATTACTCCGGTACCCTCAAAATTATGCTTGCGATCGGTTCCTACAGTATTTCATTGATGTATTTATTCATTCTAGAGGTATCTTTCACTTTTGCGAGTAACTTGAAAATCAGTTAATCGATTTCTGCCATGTTTACGAAACGCAGACGATTCATCAGCTTTGTTCGTAATTTTTTTACGAAAATTCCATCCAGATTTTAAAACTTCGCTGTTACTGATACAACAGTCTCTGCATTCACTTTGATGTTAAATACATTTTCAAAATTTTGACCTCAATTTTTAATATCCAGACAGCAAATTTGTGCCCCAAGCGATCTCAATCTCTTTATTTTCTGATCAGAGCAACTGTTTAATGAAAGCGGGATGTTTTTTCCCTTCCGACGAAAATTCATTTACCCTACGATATTATCACAAAATACATGCGTTTAAGAATGTGATCACGTTCATATAAATAGCAAGTCTGTAATGGGAGAAAACCTTGAATTTTAAATGGTGTAAGATGACAGGAATTAAAAGAAACTGCATGTTTTTGATAACAGCGAACTGAACAAAAATATTTTAATTATTCGTCCACCACTTTAGACAAATTTAAACCGAGACCGGTGCTATGGACAATCAGGTAGGCTATAGACCAAAAAACCTGCAAGGCAGATTAATACGGCCGAAAGCATTATCCGGATAGTGAAGAATTTACATTCACTGAAAGACTCAGATGGTTCGGAGATGAAGAATGCTGATAAGGTATGGGTTGTCGTTTCGGAAGGAGTGTTGGTCTCTGTCGATATGAATGAATCAACCAAAAATATTTTAGTTAAACAACCATCACTTAAAACTCATTTAGCTCCAGTCTGGTTTTTACTCTGACCCTATCACTCATGAATAAATCATTTATCGTCCTCTTCGTAGTCGACTACTACTTTTTGTCTTTGAAATAATTGTAATGATTTATAATTCAAAAACAGGTTATAATTGCTGGCTACATACATAGTTACCTGTTCTAGCTATAACTCGACTAAGACCGTGTGAGACAGTAGGGGAACTTATTCAAGAAGGCTATCTTTAGGTAATTATTATCCAAGCTGTACTTTGGAGGAATTTGATGTTGTGGATATTTCAAGCTATTCAAAAGGAAGGTGACAAATCTCTGAATTATGCAGCTTAGTGATGCGATGTTTCGTGATTGTTTAGATCTCGAAAATGATGAAACTAGCTTCATGTGTCAATAAATTGAATCTTTTATGTGAACAGTCAGAAGAAGTGGAAACACTAAGCGTACGGCATCAATTACGTGTTTTAGTTTGAAAGATAATATACGATTGTCATAGATGTGTAGTGATACTGGAAGAAAGCTGAGCGGTCATCACGGACTAAGTCAAAATCTGAACGTACTCTAACCTAGAGGATTCACACTGAAAGTTGAATGATGGAGAAAAAATAGTAGGTGCCAATATGAATCAACAAAGGAATTATTAATGTCAGTGTATGGTGCGACCAATCAGGCCCCTTTGAATTAAACACATTACGAAATTACCAGCATGAATGTATTCTTCAAAGCTTCATACAAACAACACCGCTGATTACCACCGTGGGACAAGTCAATATTGAAAATCATGTGACTTTGAAGTAAGATAAGATAGACAAGGAAGTCACATCATGACAAATTTACAATATTAGGTTAAGCCTATTTTTCTGGTAGCACAGGTAAGTCCACTACTGCCAATCTTAGGCATAAATCCAACACGTCCACTATATGGTTCAAACGTTATAATTTGACACACTGTCTTGATACTCCCTGGGTGCTGTCGCTCAATGGCAATAAAATATAATGTTCCGAGATATTTATCACAATGCTGTGTACGAAGAAGGCTGAATTAGTGTCATGGACATGCATTTCACTGTAACAGTCAACAGGCTTTATTTTATTAAAATCAAGTAATGGATTGGATGCCCCCAAAATCTCTGACATAAAGGTATCACAGCAAGTATAAGCTATAATCCAAACCAAACATAACCATGGTTAAATGCTAAGCTGTTCTTCAGACGTTTTCATATTACCCCTATATGAGAATCTCGTTAACAACTGAATAAACGATTGACTGAGGATAAACCACCTGTCTCGTTGGATTACTGAATGTCTTGGTTTGTCATTAGCTTTGGTAGTTTGGGC